ATATATATATATATATATATAAGACACTAAAAAAAACTCTAACCTTGAAAATAGGTCAATTTACTTTAATATTAAAACTAAAAACTCAAAAATGCAACAAATTTGCACAAGTTGTAAGAAGGAGATCATGAATGCGAGCGTGACACACTCTTAATTATAAATCAAGAAAAAAACTATTTCTGTACAATTCGGAAAATATAATTTATTTTCAAAATAAAATAATGTAAAACCAAATGACATTTTAAGTTTCAGACCTCACAATATGTGCTCATATTGAAAAACACTTAAGTATTCAAGTGCACAAGGCATAGAAGAATGATCAATTGAGCACTTATAATCTAATATTAATTATCCATAAAAATAAATAATTCATCTGTCAACAAAAAAACTTTACAACAAATCTATTTACAGCACATTTAAATTACAATAAGGTACCTGTTTATATTAAGAAATCTGGATCGCTATAGACATTATCACTATCTTCAGAGCTGCCACCACCTTTAGCTTTCTTTCGCTTATGATGATGTTTTTTAGGACGATCTGCTTTTTTTGATTTGTGTGATCGATGATGGTGATGAGAATGCTTGGACGATGGAGGTTTTGGAGGTATGATCGTCAATTTAGGAACCTTTGGTGTTGATTGCACATTGTTCTGTGTAACAAMAAAAAAAAAAATTTAAGTTCATTATTATTTTAAGATTGGTAATAAATCATTCCTATAAAAATACAATTATATCTCTGAATCTGTAAATTACGAGTATATATTACCAATGTAATTTCAAATTATTAAAATAAAACTACTTAGTTGTAATAAGAAAAACTGTAAGCCTCAAAGCAATAAAACAYTTTTTGTACTACATAACAATCTAAACAAGAAAAAAACACTAGTGATCATGAGAAAAACAATGATTACATATTTGTCTTATCGCTTTTAAAAATATTTAAACAAATTAAAATTTTATAAACCAGAAAATTTCAAATTCGAATAAGTAACCTAAAAATAGTTTAAATATTTTAAACATTTTATTAGGTATAAGAATTGATAATATGAACGTATTATGTTGTAAATTTCAAGTTTSTGCAATAATTCGTTTTAWAATAACAATATAAGAATATCAGAACAAGAGAAATGTGAATATCCAATGTTATAATTCAAATGCTCAAAAAAATTTAATTTGACTTTACCATAGGC